CCATGTGAAGACACAGCAAAAAGGAGTAGCCTATGAATCAGAAAGCAGGGTGTCACCAGACAAACGAATCTGCCTTGATCTCAGATTTCCTGGCAACCAAGAACTATGAAAAATAAACTTCTTTTGCTTATAAATCACCCAGTTTATGACAGCTGCCAATCTTAAGGGACTAAGACAAAAACCACTTTGCCAAAGCCTCTCATCCTGTAAGGAAAATGAGTCTCTGAAACACAAGGCAATTTAATAGCAGAAAGACTAGAACCTTACACTATTTTAGTTTAAAAAATAGTGATAAATATCCTAAAATTCAGACATGCTAAATATTTTTTCTTCTTCTATGTCTTTATCTTTTAAGAGGACATGAATTCAATTAGCATATTCCTCTGGCTGATAAGCACTCACCAACCTCTGCCATTTTCTCATTTATTCTGTGTACCTGCTTTTTCAAAGAGGCCATTTAACTTTTTGTTTTAATTCTTAAACAGTCTGATAAAACATTTTACTCTTAAGGTGAATATAGTATGTGTGTTTACTTCTAAAGTCAAGGCTACGCTCACCACCCCACTATTGTTAGTGAGAATTTAGAATTTTGGCTGACCTCTTACAGAGGTAAAATCCACCTTAGACAGACAGGCTGCGGCTGGGAATTCAGCAGGCACTGTTATCATGTCCTGTTTATGCTGTCGTTTTCCCTTCAGTAGGATATGATTTATACAGACCCACCCATGGACTTCTTGTTTATCTTATTATAGAAACTCTCCAGATCTATAAAAAGAAATCTCTGTATTTGCTTCTGGAACAGCACATGTGTTATTATTTTGTACCTCCCTACACTTTTTTATTTAGCATTTTCTGTTGTTATGTACCATTCGTTCTCATTTTTATCTCAAGGTTGATTTCACATATTAGAGTTGAACTTAAATGACTTTAACCAAATCTGTTATAGGACAAGATTCTAGAAGATCATATCCTAAACTTTTATCATGGGGTAGATTTTATCAGGCAGATATTCTTCTAAGACACATGTGACTAATTTGTGAAAAGGCATGAAACCGTGTCCATATATGAATCAGGAACACCAGGGCTAAGCTCTGGGTGACTAGAAGGCTTCTTTACCTAGGTTCACTGTGTCATAGGTAGATCAATTATGAGGCCCAGGCTTTATTTAGGTTCTCATTAACTCACTGTTCTCTAGTAGGATCTTTTTTCTGCAATGGGAAGCTCTATTCCTGTTCACTTCACTGCTGGACAAGCTGGTGAAAAATGTAATACAATAATAGATAAGAAACACATGGATTCAGTAAGTTGACCAACAGGAAAAATAAACCAATCTGGTTATCAATTACCTTATTCTTTTGCTCAGTAGACAAAAGGAAATGTGGGATAGATGCAATGATTCTTGCCTGTAATCTCAGCTACTCAGGAGGTGTATGGAGATCAGAAGAACTGTAGTTCAAAGCCAACTGGGGCAAAAAGTTAGAGAGATCCCATCTCAATCAATAAATTGAGCATGGTAGCACATGCACTTGTGATTCCAGCTACATGAGGGAATAGGGAGAAGGATAGCAATTTGAGATCAGTCAAAGGCAAAAACATGAGACACTACCTGAAAAATAACTAAAAAGGAGATAGGGGCATGGCTCAAGTGTTAAAGTCCCTTCCTAGCAAGTGTGAGGCCCAGAATTCAAACCCCAGTACCACCACAAACAAAGAAAAATGCAATTTCTTTATGAAAATTCATGGAACGTTTGTTGAGCAAATAAACAAATTTTCGTGGAGAAGTCATACTGGACATATAGTATGCGTTAACTTCACCAACACTTCCTTTATACCACAAGGTTGCTACGTAACATGAAATGCTCAGAGTACACGTACAATGCTAGACTCTTTGGACAAAAAACTTTACTCTAAAATGCATAACTGAAATGAGTGCTAAATCTCAGGATGGGAACTAAGTGGAATTAATTACACTTACAATGTAAGACTTACACTTTAACAGAAAGAGAGCATAACGTTGGCAAGTGGGAATTGATAAGATTATGATGAGGAGGCAAAAGGTTTCCTAGGTACACCCATGAATTTGAAAGCATCAATGTGAGCTTTTAATTCTGGAAACAATAAATACTTCAACTCAACTAGGATTGGTATAATTAATAGAAGATAGAAATAAAGAAGGAAGCCAAAGTTTCATTATAAAGAATTTTATTTTTTAGATGATGGAGAACCACCAAAGATAACTGCTTGAGGAAGGATGAACTCAAGCTTTTGGAGTAGAAACGAAGAGGAAGAACAAGTTGGGGTAAGACTAACGTGGGGAAAAACATTTTAAACACTACTAAACCCTATAATTATGGTACAAAAGGAAGGTCCATGTAATACACAGATAGTAAATGCTTTAACACATTTTTAACTCTTGCTTTCAAAAACAGGAGATGACATATTACTGAAGGAGGCAATATTAAACAATGCTGATCCATTGACCTTAGTGTCAGGAAAGTTGACCAGTCTTCTAGATTAGTTTGAGCTACGCCTCCCACCCTTTTTGCTCTGGTTATTTTGGACAACACAGGGTCTTGCTTTTTGTCTAGGCTGGCCTAGAATGTGATCCTGTAGTTTACACTTCCTGCCACATCTGGGATGACAGGCACACACCATTATATCCAGCTTTTTCTGTTGAGATGGAGTCTTGTGAACTTTTTTTTTGCCAGAGCTGGCCTTGAACTGTGATCCTCCCAATCTCAGCCTGCCATTTAGCTAAGATTAAAGACATGAGCCACCATGCCCAGCTGTGCTGAGTTCCCAGATGAAGCCAATTCTGTTGTATTTTGAGTGGCAACATCTTTCAGTTTCCCTTTCCACAATGGCATTTTTTAGAGATTATATTAATGTTTATTGCTATAAAACTCATTAATAAGACTTCCCATATGATAATGCATATGAACACTGTGCACTATCAAACTTTTATTTATTTATTTTGCAGTACAGGGGTTTGAACTCAGCCTAGAGCTTACCAGGAAAGCGCTCTACCACTTGTGCCACACTCCCAGTCCCACAATGGCAATATTTTATACATGTAGTGCTTTCAGGTATGCCTAAGAAAATTTTCCCCTCCCCTATGCTTTTTTTGTTTTTTTTTTTCTAGTGGGACTGGGGTTTTAACACAGAGCTTTGCACTTGTAAAGCAGGTGCTCTCCTATTTGAGCCATGCCTCCAGCCCTTTTTGCTCTGGTTATTTTGGAGATAGGATTTACTTTTTGCCAGGCCAGCCTGAACTACAATGCTCCTGTTTTTTTCCTGCCATGGCTGGGATGACAGGTGCATGTCACCATGTTCAGCTTTATTCCTTTAAGATAGGGTCTTAGAAACTTTTTTATCTGGGCTGGCCTGGAACCATGATCCTCCTGATCTCAGCCTCCCAGATAACTAGGAGTAGAGGCATATGCCACTGATACCCAGCTAAGAAATAGTTTTTAAAGGTATCTTACTCTGATTTGCATCAATACTGGATGGGTTTCAAAGCCACTATTTTGAAAGTCCAAGATGATTCAAGATTCAGAGTATTCAACACACTCAGAAATATTCCAATCTGAAGAAAATTAATTTCAGAATGTAACACTACAATTTTGTCTTCTTTTACTTAGTTTGCAAACTAAAAGATACTATTATTTCTAGTCCTGGAGTACAAAAAGACATCTTTTCATAGCCTACATACAAATCAGTGAGTTTCAGTAAAACCTGTGTAACTTGCCCTTATACTATCTTAAGCAACATGACTTAGTCCTTGAAAATCAAGATTAGTAATTTATTTTAAATATCCTACTGACTTAATGCCTAAAGACTACAACTAAATCCATACACCTTTCATTGGTTTAAGACTTGTGTATAGAAAATTACATTTTAAAAGTCTTTTGTCATCTATAAAAATATACTGCTAGCATAATACACATGCCCACCCACACACATATTGTAAAAGATTTTCTGGAATGAAATTTAACACTTCTAAATACAAAGTTTCATTTTTGATCAAATTAATGAACAGTAACAAGCTTTTAGATAAATAAGCTCCTCTTCCAGAACAGAAAGAATATCTTAAAACTGAACGTATTACTGAAGATCAGATAATATTTAAGTGTCTCATTATGGAAGGATGAAAACTAGGGCACAGTGGCTAAAGATCAAAGTCACTAGATTAAGCAGTAGCATGTTAAAAAAAAAAGAGAGGGGGAATCAATTTTTATATCTACCAATGCAAAAAGCATTACAACACAGCAAATACAAAATGTACTTGAAGAGTTTCTGGTTCCTCTGATGACTAAAAACATGGTTAACACTTTAGGATATTTTACATATTGAGATTTAAGAGGGAAGACTACAAACCAACAAAAAAACACATGCTAAACCCAAATTTAAGAAACTTCCTAAAAAATGAAATCTGAATAGAGAATGACACATATACACCACATACTGGGGATGAGGTTTGGGTGGGGTAGAAAATGGGATGGGATATAAAGAACAAAGAGAAGACAACAATTAACTCTCATCTTCTCGGTAAGGGTTGAAGGAAAGCTTTCACATATAGAAGTGTTTTTAAAAATACAACTTTCTTTACCCTCATGGATTACTTTCTAACCCATAAAATTAGAGATTCAATTTGGAGGACTGAAATTTTATATTTCAAAAATATAAAATGTAGATAGCGGATGTGCATGTGTCATAAGCTCTGTTACAATTAAAAGAAAACTAGAGATCTCCTTCTTGGCCACGAAATAGGGAATTTTTTTTGCTGTTACAAAGGTTATAAAACAAGTAGCACAAGTTTAAAAAAAATCGCTGGATAAGTTTTGTGATATCAGAGACAATGGTTTGAAATCTTGGGCATATGTTATAATGCCTATGTTGACAGATCTGCACTGCAATGCAGAAATACAAGCAATATTCTAATACTTGCACAGAAGGCAGCGAATACACGATTCCAGAATAAAGGGCTCTTAAGCTCTTACCTGTTACCTGTGCAACAACTGCTTGGGAAATCCTCCGATTGGCAAGAAAGGCTTTGATTTCCTCTTTTATCACACTGCTGTCCCTCCTAACAAAAACAGAAGACAAGACCAACAATGTATGTTGAAGGCAGAAATCCTCATCTTTGCTAAAAGAAAAGTGAAGCAGTGAGGTGAGGAGAACACAGAAAGAAAGGACACAAAAATAAAAGATAAACAGACTAAACTTGTGTGAAAATACGAATTCACAACAAACCAAGAAACATCAAAAATTCAAGTTCTGGAACATCACGCCATCAGACAGACATTTTAGTGAATATGTCACTGTAGATACAAGATGGTTAGTCCATGCTCTGTATAATTCACATGTGGAACAAAGCTGTCGTATGGTATATACAAATTTTCATTATTGGGGAATAAACATTTCTTACACAGATAGAAATCCTGGAAAATAAAAATCAACAATAAAAATCAGTTGTGAATAGATTATGAGTTTGCAATATTAACCAAGCAACTGTATGAATAATATCAATTTTAAAACCTTTAAAACAGAGGAGTATAAGTCATCATTCTCACAACTGAAATTATTAGCCACTTCAAGAAAGGTCCTTTAATTTGCCTTTTTATACGAAAATAAAAAATTTAAGGGTTGACTATTAAACTAGAATACTGAAAATACACTTACTAATAACCCAAAAACTACACTGTGTTCTATGTCCTTGGTATTAAACATTCTAGACCTCATTTTTCCTCTACTAAGATGAATGCTACAAATTTTTATTTATTTAAAAACTCAACAGATTCTCAAAAGACCAGACATTCACTAATATGATAAGTGAAAAGACTTGTTTTTCCATCAGAACAAACATAATACTTAAATAAAAATGTTTAAAACTAACCTATTTCTCTTGGCTTTATTTTCAAGAAAAGATTACGAAAACAGAGCACTAATTTTTGTTCAAGCTCAAAGCTAACACAGAATCATAGTAACACTAGCTAACACAGGGGTTAGCAAATTATGGCCCTTAGGCTAAGTCCAGCCTGCCATCTATTTTTATACAACCCATGAGCTAAGAATCATTTTCTCAGATAGACGATGGAAATCCATTTGAATAAAGTATTATCCTCACTTTCTTCTCATTAGTGTGCCTGTATTTTCAAAACTTTATACAATTATTATTATTTCATATTTAATTTTTCTCAATAACATTTTGTGGCCACACTGGGCATGGTGGTGCATGCCTGCTACCCCAGGACCTGGGAGGCTGAAACAGGAGGATCAGGAGTAGGATAGCCTAAGCTACATACCAAGATCCTAACTCAAAAGAACAAACAAAATTAATTAATTAATAAATAAACAAAAAATCCAACCAATCAAAACAAACTGCCACTTGATTTCTCTTATTTTTCATTTTTTCTTACTTCTTTTTTTTGAGACAGGGTGTTGCTATGTAGCCACACCCAGGCTACTCTCCAACTTATGATCTGCCTGCCAAGTGCTGAAATTACAGGCAGATGCTACTACACCTGGCTTGACACTTTCTCTTTCTATAGAAGTATCTACACATTATATATTCAATTCTGCTCCTTGGCCAAAAGTCTAAAATGTTAATTTTCCTTACAAAAAACTTTGTTGAGCCTTGATCCAAGACAAAATCCCCAAACCTTTACATATTGTTTTGTGAGGGGCTCAAGTCTCTTTGTAGATTACTTGGAGAGACTAAGAAAATTTTATTCAAAAACAGTTAGTTGTGATGTAATTTAGTTCAGCCCTCTCAGACCCTTGATGAGGAGGGGCTATACACTCTGTTGGATTACATGTTCCCTTTTGGGAATTCTAGAAAAGAATATGAGGAGTGGTGATGAGTCTCTACCTATGGCTCTACAGTATACTCCTGATCTATTGATTGGAAATTCTAAACAAGATGTTTCCTAAAGATAAAAATAAAATAAAGAATGAACTGCCTGATGCACAATTTAAAATTTCTGATAGTGACTTAGAGTCTTATCTGATACTGGTTAGATTCCTCCCAAACATTTCTCTCTATGCCAATAATTAGTTGAGCAAGAAAGAGATAACCTTACCATTAACGATTTCAACTGCCTTATTTATATATATGAAACAACCATTTGGTTTCTGATATAATTACAAAATTAATCTGAACAATTTTAGATAAAGCATTGCAGTTCTACATATAGAATGATTTAGGAAAAACAAAACTATTTGAGAATAATTGTTCAGGTTAGAAGAAAAAATGGTGCTTTTATAGGAAAAATGAGTAATTGGTATTTTCTTAACTACTGAATTAAAACACAACTTAAATAAATTTAAGTGAAATTCACCTTGATTAGATTATAAATAATATAGAAGATAAGACAGATCATATGGAAAACACTCAAATATTCCAATATGGAAATACCTGGACTGTGAATTATTCACAGCTTTACAGCAAGACAGAAGAAACCCCCAAAGTCTATAAAACAGCAATTACTTACCATCTCATAGACCATACTTGTAAATATTATGCAAGTTTCTAACACAACCATGATAAATTAAAAAACAAAAAAACTCTTTACTTCTTTCCCAGAAAGAATTTTTTTGGGGGGGGGCAGTACTGGGGTTTGAAGTAAGGGCCTCACACTTGCTAGGCAGGTGCTCTACCACTTGATCCATTCCACCAGCCCTGTTTTGCATGGGGCTGGCCTGGGCTGCCTCAAACTGCAATGCTCCTGACCTCTGCCTCTTTAGTAGCTAGGATTATAAGGGTAAGTCACCAGCACCCAGCTGAAAGAAACTTTTTGAAAGAAATAAGTAAGACTTAAAAGATCAGCGAGTCTGGGAGTATAGCTCAGTGACTGAATTCTAGACTGACATTCAAGAAACTCCCATGCCCAGCCCTCCCACCAAATTAAATAACTGGATAATATTAAATATCTATACATATGTGCTAACAATATAAAAATGAAAAATTCAATATAAGCCGGAAGTTGGTGGCTCATGCCTGTAATCCTAACTACTCAGGAGACAGAGATCAGGAGTTCAAAGCTAGCCCACAGGCAAATAGTTTACAATACCCTATCTTGAAAAAAACCCATCAAAAAAATGGGCTAGTGGAGTGGCTCAAGGTGCAGGCACTGAGTTCAAAGCCCAGTACTGCAAAAAAAAAAAATAAAATAAATAAAATAAAATATTTAAAATTATAAAAGTACTACATAAACATAGACTATTATTTCTTATACAACCTTATACAGGATCACAAGAAAAGAACAAATGGTTTGCTATAAGCATGAGAAAGACTGAAGCAAACATCAGTACCAGGTAATTTAAGGCACCACGAAAAGAATTCTATAAGGTCAATTTACACACAAGCAGTGACATGTCTTTTATTTGGTTTTACTAGGTATCTTCTTTTTTTCTCTCTCTCTCTCTCTGCAAACCACTCTCCACCCCCCCCCCTGCCCGGCAGTAATGGGGCTTGAGCTCAGTGTGTTGCACTTGTCAGAGAGGCACTCTACCACTTGAGCCACACCCCCATTTTTATCTTAGTTGTTTTTTGTTGAATGCCTAAGCAATTTGGACCAAGATCTTCCTATTTATGCTTCCTCGTAGCTGGATGCCAGGCGTATGCCACCATGTCCAGCTTTTACTGATTGAGGTGGGTTCTCAAGATATTTTTGCACAGGTTGGCCTCAAAACCATAATCCTCCCAATGTCTACTTCTGAGTAGCTAGGGTTATAGGTGTGAGCCACCACACCCTGCAGATATTTTCAAAATAGTAAGAGCATTCAATTTTCACTGTTTCTACTTCTCTTAAATATTATAAAGAGTTCCTCCTCATTCTCTTCTTTCTTTAACCCCCCACTTCTATTGTCCTTGCAGGTTGTGAAATCATCACTTAGTTTTGGAGAGGCTGATCATTTTTCAATTTCATAGCTAACTACGGGTTTATTTTGTTGTTGTTTTGTGTTTTGAGACAACAGTCTCACTATGTTGTCTAGGCTGTCCTTGAACTCATGACTCTTCAGCCTTGATGTGCTACTATTACCCTGCTTTGAATCACCTTTTTTGAAAGACACAATTTAACTATCAATTAACCAGAGACATTCACTCTGATATTGACCCAGTTTAAAAAAAAATCTACTTTTCTAATGGCTAACTTTAACATTTTCATTATACGACTCACATGCTAGTATCTTATATGCTGCTTTGCATTATGTTCCTAATCTTGTCTTATCTCTCCTATGTCTTTTAGCATGAAGACTGTGTTGTATTCATCATGAGGTTTGCATATAACAAAAGTTAATTTGTCAAATGAGTGAACAATTCTGTAGTTAGAGATAAAAGGATGCACAATGGAAAACCTGATCTAGATAATTTATAAAATAGCTTTAAATTCTTATTCTCAAGTATGTTTCAAGTCTCGAAGTCTTGAAGTCTTCTCAAGTCTCCCAAATCAAGATGGAAAAGTTATTCATGGCAGTTCAAAATGACATTGCTAGCCCAGTCCCAATGGCTCACATCTATAATCCAAGCCATTCAGAAGGCAGAGATCAGGAGGATCACAGTTCAAGACCAGCCCAGAAAAATAGTTCGAGACACCCTATCTCAAAAATACCCAATACAAAAAAGGTCTCAAGTGGAAGAGTGCCAGCCCAGCAAGCTTGAGGCCCTGAATTTAAACTCCAGTACCACCAAAAAAATACATTGCTTCATTCTCTGGAGTAAAGATATTACAGAACACATGTTTAAAGGTGCTTTTTTTAAGATCTTTCAATTCCCTTGGTTGATATACACTGAACATTCCTTAGGATCTCTTAAAGGTAGCCATCTCAAAGACACTCAGAGATAAAGTAGTAACCACTAGGACAGTCTATTTCACATTTGAACAATGAAATTACATACAAATGTATTAACATTTGAATTAAAATTTACTCCTTAAAATTTCCACCCATAGATATACACAAAACATAATTTTTAAAAACAACAAATGAGTAACTGAGATGGGAACTGTGTATCATGATCATTTCATCCTATCACTTGCAAAAGATAAATATCCTACTTGTATTACATAAGTAAATACAAGTTGGTATCCCTTATTCGAAATGCACAATAAGTGTATCAGATATTGGATTTTGCAGATTTGGAAATATTTTCATACAATGAGGTATCTTGGGATGGATCCCAAGTACAAAAACAGAAGGCAATTATGTTTCTCAGACATCTTATACACATAGGCTGAGTATCTTTTTAGATAAGATTTTTAATAATTTTGTGCAATGAGACAGTGTTTCGTGTAATGAATTCTCCGCTTGTGGCACTGATAGGTAGCAGACAGCCAAGTGGTGGCCACAAGAGGAAGAAAGTCACTGTAACAGAGTTTCTAACCCCATAGGTGACTGGTCTCTGTTAAGTCAAAGTAGTTCATCAAGGCTGGGGGACATTAAAGGACACTCTGAAGTCTGTCATTCACCAAAGCTTAATCCTTTCTTTCCTTTTTCTTTTTCTGTTTTTGGTCAGATTGGGGTTTGAACTCAGGGTTTCACACTTGCAAAGCAGGCTGCTCTCCTGGATGAGCCATAACACCAGTCCATTTTCCTCTGGTTATTCTGCAGTCACATGCTCTACCACTGAGCTATATACCCCAACACTATGCTCTGGTTATTTTGGAAATGAGGGTCTCAAGAACTGTTTGCTTGGGCTGGTCTGAAACCATGATCCTCCCAAGAAGCAAGGATTACAGGGGTAAGCCAAGGGTGCCTAGCCTTAAACCTTGCTTTACTCAAGAGTAAGCCATACTCTAAACATCAGCTAAGCCTGGGGCTGGGTGTTTCACACAGGTAATCGCTATCAGACAAACTGAAGACTTAGAATTCCACACAGGTAATCTACTTTAACAAGATGAAGGCCCAGACCCACGAGTTCATCCTGAGGCTGAGCAATCCCTAGTACATATTCCAGCTCCAAAGGATGATATTGCCATTCTCACTGGAAACAGCCCGTTTTCAGCCTGATGAATGTGCACTCCTTCCCTAATACACTTGGCTATTTGGCTATCATTTTCACTACATCTCTGTGTCTTGCCTTAATTCTTCTCCCACTGGACACAAGGACAGAGGTAGATACATACCAGTGCTAAACTTTCTGGTAACAGAATCATGTTGGTGCTTAGAAAGTTTTGGATTTTAAAGCACTTCAGATTTCAAATTTTCAGACTAAGGATGTTCACCTATATGCTACTGGTAGACCTTTAGCCAACCAACTTGGAATAAAGTCTCAGAAATTTGTACAAAATACTAACATACTCAAACTTTCATACACGGGAAGTGAACAATAACATCCTTAATATATGGCTATGCTTACTAATTCTGATAAGCCTCATTTAAATTGTTATTTCATAATATATACATAATTGAACAGATAAGACGTAAGTAGATATATACTATTTTAATAGAAGATGTAGATACACATACACTCTTATACATATATTTACTTATTAATTGATACCACACCTTTTATGTGGTAAAATGAGCCTTCATTCTTGGCTTTAGAGTCCTTCCTAAAATGCTACATAACAATTTAAAATTTATATGCTAGGTTGCCTTTCATTTTTTTTATCCTAATTAAAAAATGGAAAAAGTAGCAGTTTCTTTTTTCTGACTTTCTTAGCAAGTTGATCAAAGGCGAAGTTAAAACTTGATGAAGTTCTACCAAAAAAATGCTCCATTATGTACCTTGAAATTATATACTCTAATACAGATTCACTGAATTGTAAGAGTTGCAAAATAATGGTTGCATGCTCGAGGCTGGGGAATGTGAGGAAGCAAGAGGTAGACTTTATAGAGAGCAGAGGAGGCAGGAAAGCATCCCGGCACCCATACTCTCTACTAGAGACCTTCAGTTCCAATTCAAGATAATATCATCAGTGTGGAATTGATAGGGAGGGCAGCAAGTCCCTAGGTGGACACAGAAAGAGCTACTGTTCAAAAAATTTCTCTAGCATCCTACCAAATATGTGGGGGAAGGGAGTGGCAAGCCAACAAGGCCATTCACACTGTGTCTTGAGTTTTTTTTAAACCCACCTTTCCTAAAGTCTTATTAAATCTATAAACATGAATAATTTGTTTATAGTGATAACATATACCAGTAACACACTGATAATAAAGATAGGGATTGTAATTTAGGTTCTGTCACCTAATATTCAACTTTTCTTAGGCAAATTATTTGAGTTTCAGTTTGATTACAATGATTACAAGTGAGAATAGTCAGTCATTCAATAAACTTCTCTCTGACCTAAGAAGGATTATCCTCTGCAAACTTGAGAAAGTGAGAAGGGGCATACTGCAAGAGTGGAGGAAGGTACAATGGCAGAGGACCAGAAGGTGCCAAAAGGTCTAAGGAGACTCCTAGATAATTAAATGTCACCAAAGAAACAATTCTAAAAAAGAAGCAGAGAAAGAGAAAACAGTGCCTTAATTATACAACAAATGATTGTGTGCAAAATTAAATACTATTACAATGTATAAAACTGTATATATTTAAAGGTGCAACTTAATGTTATTGTTAATAGGCTTTCTGTTTATTGTGAGGATATAGTAGAAATAAAGCATTATACCAGCCTATAAATTAAAAGTATTTAGACCCTTATTAGCTATACTGTTCAAATCTTTTAGTTATATCATTAAAAAGACAGTTTCTCATACTTCTTGTTAATCTAATACACATCTGGGAATTAACTGTTACATCAAAAGCTTATCCAAACTGATTAACAGCAACAACAAAAAACCAAGCTAGCACCTAAACAAGTAAATTTTATGTTGACATCCTCTCTACTCAGGATAATTTAAAACTCATTATAGTTCAGTGAGTGAAGTAACTTATTTACCTGAATGGTTCTCCCTTGTAATTTTAACAATGGTGTATGTTAAATTCAAAAGCAATAGCTAGGGCTGTGGATGTGCTTCAGTGATAGCAATTATACTTAACTGTTGGAAGCCCTGGGTTCAATCCTCAGCACCAAAACAGTCAAAAGCAACAGCTAAAGTTTGGCTGCCTGCTTTAACAGTTTAAAATTAATTCAAAGCCAAATTTCTCTCTTTTTAAAAAAAATAAGAACTGTTTATTTTTAAGTATTAAAAGCTTATGAACACTGACTTGTAGCTCTTATATGAAGCTATTCATTATTACAGGTTACAAAGGACTCTAGATACAACAAACAGTTCATTTAGCCCAGAATTCCATATAATGCAATTCCACCCTAAAAATAAATTCAGGACAGGTTATTTGTTTAAAGGATATTTTGCCATTGTGGTACTAAGGAAGGATCTCATGTGGCAGTATTAAGTCACCACTATTCTATCTTGAAGTCTTAAAATCTTTAGGAAGAATTTTAATTCATAATTACAGTTTTTATTTTTATTTCTGAAAAATTCCTGCTACTGCTTCTTTTATTATCTACTGTAACAACTTATATGTAGCTTCTCACCCTTCCACAGCAGGGAAAATCTACTAAAAACAATACTTTGCTTGGTCTATTCCTAAAGACCTATAAAAACTCCTAATTCCAAACAAAGTAAACAAATTATTTAGTATGAAACCCAGAGCCTTCCAAAACCAGAACTGTCCCTAAAATATTATTGCTACCATCACAGTTTGGCCTATCTGTAATCTTTATCAACTAAAGATGTACCTTGTCTTTTCTGATACTTTTTACTAGTCCCTTAGCTTTAAATAAAGTTCCAATATTTCAAATCACAGGCTATCTTTAAGGTTTAGATCAAATTTACCCACTTGCTTTAACATGTTAAGCCTTTACCATGTGCTGAGGAAAGTTTTAATTTCTGGATACATGATAATAGAAAACACACGGCTGTCACCCTCAAAGTATCCCAGATGTGGTTTGAAGGCTTTCTTGTTGAATAGGGCTTCTGTTCCTAGTGTTTAAAATTCAAGTGTTCATATTTACCATGTAATTAATAGTGTGTGCGTGCGTGTGTGTGTGTGTGTGTGTGTGTGTGTGTGTGTCCATGTATGCACTACATCTGTTGCTAAAATTAGAACTTTAGGTTTTTAGGGGCAGAAGTCATGTCTATTTTTCTTGTTAAAATTACTTTTTACCTAAGAGTTGGTCAAATTATATTTTGTTAATCGGAAGGTTGTAGAGGTCCACAATGTAGATCCCAAATTTATCTTATCCCTCAGGAAAGTACTCACAATGATGGACTTAAGGATTAATTTCTGTCTGTCAGAAGTTAGCTGCTAGAACCATAAAGAGAAGATGAACCTTTAATAAACAGAGAGAATGAAAAAAAGATTATTAAATAGAAAAAACAAAGGGCTGAAGCAGAGAAGAGAAAATCTGAATTAAATAATATAATCAGAACTTTTCTTTCATCTCCAAAGAATGGAAAGAGAAATCACAGTATAGATAAGTAGTAGAAATACAGCCTGTAACTTAAAAAAAAAGAACATAGACATTTTTGGCAAACTCACAATAAGCAAAGTAACTAACCTCATTAATTCCTCCACTTTATCATCTACATCTAGGTCCTCTTCGGAGGCTTCAAAACTGTATGACCTCTGACCCATGCTGTTTGCATGATAGCGAGTTGGTGACATCTTTCCATTGGACGTAGACAATCGTTCGCTGTTCTCCCTCCCATTTTGATTGGTAGTGCAAGGCTGTGGGGAGGTATCATAACTGTTGCTAGGTGATGGGGACATTCCCGAATGCTGGGTCTGTGTGGAAGCTGTAGCTGTAGAGGAAGATGCTGGAACATTGTTGGTACTATTCCCATACGAACTTCCCCCATAGCTGGATCTTCTTCCAAATTTGTCACTATGCTCTTGATCAAGACGGTCCAAAGTTTCCAAGGCATGAAGAATTTCATGTTTAGTCATTCCAGTACGTCGAAGGCGCTGAAGCAGATCTATTTGTTCTATGGTAAATCTGGGTTCATCTGTATAGTGAGACATGGTTTCCAGCAAACTGAAAGAAAAACAACAACAAAAAAGTCTTATTAGCAATGCCTACCAAAGACCATATGATTAGTGAGAATGCAAAAGATTCATTATCTCTATATAAAATTCTTTACTGAAAATAACGGCATGTCCCTCCCTTGTTTCTGTCATGGCAAATGAATTGGTACAGGTACTGAGTTTATTAGTAGATGGACATCCTATGTAATACAAAACCCAATTTATTATGAAACAATTGTTTTCAATTTTGGTAAATATTTGGAAACAAAATTTTAGTTATGTCAAAAAATACCAATATAAAAGATTAGGTACATAGCTTACATTAAGTACAGACTATGTGATAAAGGACAGTGTTAATACCATCTCAAATGTATTACTCTACAATCGCATATAAATAGAAAATTACTGAAAAAATAGTTTGTATTACCTTCCTTTACCAAATATCAGCAAAACTGACTGGGAAGTCAAACTTCATTTGGCGAAAATGAATGATTTTCTTAGCTAAGCCTAAGCAAATACTAATAACCAGAAAAATGTAAGTGAAAAAGAGAGGTACATAAAAGAACATAATAAGCACCACTTCATTCATGACGTAGCAAACCCGTAAGTTTTTCATCTCTGTGATGAAGTCTTTGAATAGTTACTATGAAAAATGGAACACTCATGGTTGTAGCCCAGTGGAGCTCTTCATTTTGCTTAGGAAATTTCTTCTACATGCTTCCTTTAACTAGCACATGGTACTATAGCATACCAGAAAATGTTTCCTTAGAGGGAATAACATTACTTAGTTTGAGAGTTGCCAAATCATAAATTTCTTATTACCCAAATTCCTTTCATATAAAACCTGACTTTTGAATTCAAGGCTTTTAAAAGTGGTAATCTCTTCTATTTTAATTTTTATTGTTCTAGTGCCAAACATTATGCACAACATATAGGCTCTCACTATGTATTTTATAACAGAAGTAGCAGCTGAGGAATTTTTTGTCCTTTATAGATAAGCGTGTACTCTAGGCCAGTCTCCTTAGCCTGTTGGAAATCTCACACTCTATAGAGTATGAGAGTTTCTAGGTGGAAACGGACTAAGAATTTTATATAATATAATCTCATCTAATCCCTACAGCAACCCTCTGTGATAGATGTTATTTTATTTCATTTCATGCTAATGGATTGTTAAGGAAGCTAAGGCTCAAGGTTCTATTATATCGTGCAGAAAGTTTGAGAAAGAAGTAGAAAATAAGATTTAAGATACTGACTCCCAAAGCATACATCATTCTATTTCCAACATACTATAGGACTTATTTGAATGAAAGAATTCAGGATGTAGGCAGCTGTACTCCTTTAAGTCTCTAGTTAAAATCATAGATAAAACCACTCTGCTTACTGATGGACTAAGGAACCCTAGTAATAGTTTTTCACAATTAAAATCTTTGTTCCATATATAATTTATACTCACTTAATGACTGTAAAAGGGCTAGGGCTTTCACTGTTAATGGGGAGCTAGGTGTCTAACAGTTTTATTGAATAATATATTTCTTCTCCAATCTGAATTGTCACCCTTATCATATATATGTTACATAACGAATCTGTATTTATCTTTTGATTCTGTACTCCACTGTTTTGTTCTTCAAGTGTTTTTTTAAATAAGCAGGCAGAAATCTAGAATTTTTACGTGAAGTATCCCTAGTTTTAGAAACACACTCATTCACCTAAAAGACAAAGGATATGAATAAAAAACAGGAGGGGGAGGGAAAAAGAAGGAAGAAGGCAAATGTGGCTGATGTACTTCCTATACAAGAATGATACAGAATTTTTAAACCAGTTAAAATCACTGTAAGAAGACGACTAAGATAGAAAGGAGAAAAATGGAGGGATGAATGAATTTGGGATACAATACATATATACATGGAAATGTCATAATGAATCTCTCTGTATAGATGTCTTAAACAAACTAAAATGTCTTTTGTCAAAAAAAGGACAGGAAGATAAAAAGGTCCCGTCCGGGGGTGGGGATGGGGTAGGATATAAGGAAAAGGTGCGTGAGGTGAACATGGTGGAAATACTATGTACTCATGTGAAAATGGAAAAATGAGGTATGCTGAAACTATTCTAGAATGCAGGGGGGGGAGGGGTAAAGGAAAATGATAGTGGGGGTGAATTTAACTAAGATATATTGTAAGCACTTATGTAAATGCCGCACCGTACCCCCAGTACAACAATAATATGACAATAAAAAAAGAAGAACAGACTAATTTAAAAAATATACAAAAGCTGGGTGCTGGGACATGCCTGAAGTTCTAGTACTTGAGAGACACAGGTAGGACGATTTTGAGTTCAAGGCCATCCTGGGCTACAAAGCAACACCATGCTTCAAAATTATCTGTGCACACGTATATGTATGCATACACAAAACACATTCTGTGGATCCAAACTAATATGTTGCAAGCCATTTGTGCCTTGCATATTTGTGCCTATACACATTACGGAATGTGCTTTTTTCTAACACTTGTGATAAGTTATTCCTCATTAAACAAAGATTTTATTTTCATCATTATTTTGATTGTGCAGGTTCTCCCTCCAACATTTTATAGTGAAAAATTTTAAATAAAAGTTAAAATAAATTTACAGTACACACCCATATCCCAACCACCTAAACTGTAGCATTTTCTTTCAACATTTGTATTGCTACATATATATCTATTCCTCTATCTATGTATCTCTCAATTCACTGCATTTTTGGATGCATTTCAAAATCAGTTATAGACATCTGTATACTTTCCTTTATATACTTCAGCATATATATCATTAACTAGAGCTTAGTGCTTATTCTTCTGAGGTAAAATGTACACAAAAGAAAATACACAAATATGCTTACCTCTAAGATTTTGAGAAGCATGAACACCTGTGATATTCAAATCTGTGGGAAATACTGATTATTTCTCATCACTCAGCACCTTCCCAGCCAATCTCTGTCCCTCTACCTCAGAGGCAAGCACTCTTGTTATTTTATTTCCACCAGAAGCTACTTTCATCTGTTTGATAATCTCGCATCTAAACCCTATTTACTCCTTTGTGTAAAGCTTTTTCACTAAGCTTGATTTTTTTTTTAAAACATTCATTGATAAAGTGTGTATCAACAGTTTGTTCCTTTTCATTGTTGAGTAGTATTTCACTGTAGGATTAGCCCAAAGCTTTGTTTATCCATTCTATTGATGGATGCTTGGGTTACTTTCAATTTGGTTATTATAACTGTATACTGATGGTGGGGTTTTTTTTGTTTGTTTGTTTTGGGGTTTTTTTTTTTTTTTTGCTTTTTTAGTGTACTTGCACTTGCTAGGCAGGTACTCTATCACTTGAGCCATGCTTCCTAAAGCCCTTTTTGCTTTAGTTATTTCTCCAATATGGACTTGCATTTATGCCTGGGCCAGCATGGATGACAATCCTATTTATGTTTCCTACATAGCTGAAATGACAGGTCCACATCACCACACCAGCACTTTACTGATTGATATGGGGGTCTTGAAAACTTATTGCCTGGACTGGCCTCGAATAATGATCTCTGTAATTTTGGCCCCCTGCCCCCCATATCTAGGATTACAGTCATAACCCACCACACTCAGCTGTATTGGTTGTTTTGAAACAGGGGCTTGCTATGTAGCACAGGCTGGTCTCAAACTCATGATTCTCCTGTATCTACCTCCCAAATGCTGGAATTGTAGGCACATGCTTATTTTAACTGTATTCTACTAATCTTTTTAGCTTCTCTCTCATAATATATCACCACCTGGATGAGAGAGAAAACGTTTGACCAGAGATACTCACTTTTTTCAAAACATCTATACACAATGTTTAACAAACAATCTATTATAAAATGTTATGCAGGGTTGGCAATGTTCTAGATCTATCCTCATGTGTTCATTATATTACTTACACAGGTATATTCTCTTTGAAAATTCAACAAAGTTGGAAATGACTGGTTTGTGTACTTCACTTGTTTATTTATTAATTGATTTGGCTGAGTTACTGGTATTTGAACTCAGGGCTTCATGCTTGCTAGACAGATGCTTTATCACTTGAGCCACTTCACCAGTCCTGTTTTGTATTGGGTATTTTTGAGATAGGGTCTCATGAACCATTTGCCCAGGGTTGGGTTCGAATTGTGATCCTCCTAATCTTGTCTCCGAAATAGCTAAGATTATAGGCATCTAGTTCTGTACTATTCTTAAATGTAAAGGTTCTTGAAAAATTATGTGAATATTTTTCTAACAACTTATAAGAAATACTTAGTACTTGAGTTTCTATTTAAATCCTTAGCCCTTTGTCCACTCTGTCAAACATTTAGCAATACATTAATCCTAGGAAGTTCTTTTTAAAAGTAACTGACAAATTCAAATTATTCATCCCTTAATTTATTAGCATGAAAAATTCCAGTTTCTATATATCATTCTTCCCTTAAAAATGAAAAAGACCCATTCTGTTGCTATCTTCAGTCTTCTTCCTATCAAAATATTTCATAAACTGATCTTACTTTAGATATGTTATTTGAAGAATTATTTTATATGAACAAAAAATGATATTTTTCTATTCTACTCATATAAGAATTATATATAAAACTCTTCAAACTCTGTGTGTTGCGTATTAGCATAAAAGAAAAGTAAATTATATGAATTTCATTTATTACTGAAAAGTATCCATCGTAATACTTCAGTTAGAACTGTCAGAAGTAGAGATTTCACAGTATGTGAAGCAATATAATATTTCATATCATACTGGATTCACTAGCAATTGGAAAACATTTTAAATCCAAAAGTCACAGAAAAAGGAATGGTAGGCACCTATTACTTTTTCTGCCTAGAACACCTCATTACTTCCAGGCACATGTTCTCAGAAGAGCCATTCATACTCAACTTCCAATGAACAGGGTGAGCATACAAGGAGGCTAACCCCTGCTTTCTTCAAAATTTTCTACTTAGACTAGGATAACATGGACATTCACTATAACTGTGCTCAGCTACCAGATGATGTTAGTCTGGTAAATTCTTCATCACACAGAAGCAAGGTAGTCTGTGGCAGAATAAAGCAGACATCCAAGAAAGGAAAGCAACAGGAAAGTTCTGCAGTGTTGCTATCTCTTGTTCAAGTATTTCCGAAGCCCAAGGCACTTTTGTTTTTTAATGGGAAATGACAAATTTTCCTTTATGCTTCACCTTATTTAAATTAGATGTCTGTAACCTGTACTAAGAGAGGCTCCTAACATAAAGACACAGCTAAAGGAAAAAAGCTCCAGTGGCCAGAATGGAATAGATTAATCACTACAGAAGAGTGCTCAGGGCACAATAAGCAGGAGCCTGTGCATAAAGCACTGGACATTCAGGATAGAGTTTTACTGAAAAACTGCCAAGATTATAAGCTTTTGGATATTGAGAATAATATCCCAATGTGCATTAACATAAACATGGAATACATTATGACATTTTCAAATTTTATTTCTCATAATTTACCTAGCTTAAACACATAATCATGAAATTATAGCAGCAAATGACCTTTTTAGGTCATTTAAGTCCATGATACCAGCAATTCTTTAATAACAGAAAAAGATGACATGTAAGAACTAAATTAATTTTCTTATGCACAAGGATTACTCACTGGATAAGAATTTTTTTCACTTTGAACTACTAATATGAATGCAGACTCAGGCCAATAATAATTGAAAATAACGTGAGAAGAATTCCTACACTGCAATAACATGTTTAAAACATAAAAGAATAATTAAATTTGGAAATCATGGCTTAGTTCATAAATTGGTATTCTAAGAAAAGACTATAACATGAACATTAAATATAAAATATTTTGCAATAATATCTAAAACAATAATACCTTCTTATATTAGCCATGAGGTGCAAACATACTTTCATAAACTAAGTTCCACAAACATGTAGGGCAAAGAAGGTTAAAGCATTCACAAATGATTAACCTTGTAATTAATCATATGGGCAAAAAGAATATTACCACCTCATTTGTAAAGCAACAACAGTTAATAAACTTCTACTGGATAACCAAACTTTTACTTCAGCTGAATTCCTGCTGTTTTCATCCTTTTATCCACGATGACTAGGCAATGTAAGTTAGTTTTGTTGTGCAAGTATGCTATTTAGTACAGGATAATTTAACACATTCTAGAGTCTGTGGTAATTCTCATTAGCTAAAGATGTATTCAGGCCCTTCTTACTAGTTATGCATATTGCCCTCTTTCTCAGTCATTCCCACCATCAAATGAGGGAAGGTTAGTTTTAAAATAAGAAAATGACAAGAAGTAAGAATACATAAAAAATGACATTTTACTGGGAAACAAACTTGACAGTACAGTAAAAATGATTCAATAATTCAAATCTTTAGAACTTACTAAAGTCTAAGAACAGAGTCTATGACTGTAGATAATGGTGCAAAATGTTCTCTTCATAACATAAGGATTTGGAGAAAAGTAGGATTGTATTCCAATGTGTCAATCACTGATTGAGTTTATTTTGCTATGAGAACTTGGGATATATTTCCTCTACCTTCCAGAATGTGATGTTTTATCATCCAATATGTGAACTCTTAAAGCTGTAAACACTCCCCTTAATTCCTGTCTATGAAAACTTGAAGCCAATAGCCCTTCCCCTGGGAACCCTCTTCTTTCAGGAATGTTCTATCACACCTCTTCATACTCCATATGCGAATTACTGGCCTTAACTACTAGACTTTGAAATGCAGTATGAGAGTTCAGGCTCTAACAGGACTCAGAGCTTTGAAGCTTCATCTGCTAACACTGGCCCTCTAGCATCAACTGACCTTAAGAGTCTTCCTGTCTTCTTATCTTTGAGTATCTCCACTGTGGTAGTCAAGTCAAGAATCTCTCCCATTAAGGTGCATGTCCGATGCAGACTTTATTTTCCACAGAAGCCAACTTCCATCCTAACTGAGCCAGTGGCCCTCAGTAGTCTGGGAGCTCACTCGCCATGTAACCACACCCATCATGTGTGCCTAGTGAAGTTTGTTCATGTCATTCTTCCCTTGCCAAGCATTGTGAATGGAAGAAAAGTTTCTCTTTGTATGGCAATAAGTCATGTGACTTAAGAAATCATACTGTGATCATCTCCTTCTTTTTACCATACACAAGAAAATCCAAGTAAAAACATGAAAAGAGACAAAAGCTGATTAAAATGGAAGATGATAAAAACTTGATGTGGAAGAGCCTGGTACTGTGGCATGTATCTGTCACCCCAGCACTCAGGAGGCTGAAGAGTAGGATAGAGAGCTGAAGGCCAATGTGAGTGGCATACCAAGTTCCAGGCCAGCCTAGTCTATTATACAGCAAGATGCTGCCTCCAAAAACAGCTAAATAAAATTAAAGAAGAAGAGGGAAACTAAGACCCGAAAAAGATAAAGTGCCTTCCCAAGCACATAGCTACTCAGCAGAAACTCAGGCGACATAGCACATCTTTTGGACTTATTCCAGAGACTTTTGACTAAGTTACAGAATCAATGAAAGGGGAAAAAAAACTTTAAAGAAAAACCTAAAAAATAGGGAAAACCTATCTTAATGTCTACTTATTGGATTATAGAACTGTCAACCAAAACAGAAGGAATTTAAGTGAAACACAGACTCCACAAAATTTTAGAGAATACTTATGCTAAACGCACTCTGCATTAGACTCTAAAGACGCACTTAATGAGCTAATAGATACTTTATCTCCTCTAATATCTGAACTTCCCGGAATACTTTCATTCATAGGCTTATTTAATATGAACTGGTGGTTACAGTTCATATCCAAGCACAGAAACACTCAATATAATATAACCATCTAAATTTGTATTTTTGCCTGACTCCAAAGAACAGCTAGCAACTACATTAGCTGACAGTCTTAACTCTATTATCATCCTCAGTTAGGAAAAAAGGCTAAGGTGCTCAATCTGCTCACAAAGGCAGCACTGAAGTAACATGCTGCTAATATTCTGCTTGTAACACAGAATCTAAAACTGGCTCTCTTCAACAGCTAGCCTTCTGTGTCACAAGTTCCTGGACTATTAAGCAGTTAAAAATAATAAGTATGGCAATTTCATGTTTAAGTGAAAATCCAAAGTTGAAAACAGAAATGGCAAAAGACAAGGTTGATAGATTTGAAAATCCACTCCTTTCTAATCACATGAAATGAAACTTATTCACCTTAATGTCAAAGATATCTACTATTTGGATTATTCCTGTGGGTGTGTGGTAGTGAGACACTGGGATTTAAACTCAGGGCCCCACTCTCACTCTTGCTAGGACAGCGCTTGGTAGGCCAGACCCCTTAATCTTTTTTTTTCCCCCCTTATTTTTCAGGTAGAGTCTACCATTTTTGCCATCCTCAGACCACAATCCTCTTACCCATGCCTCCCATGTAGCTGAGATCACAGATGTGAACTACCATGCCCAAAAGTTTTGTTTAGATGGGGTCTCACTAACTTTCTGCCAGGTTGGCCTTCAACAGAACAGTGATCCTCCCAACTATTGGTGTGAGCCACTGCACCTGGCTGTTTTTCTAAAAATCTCTGTCAAGTTGGACTGGCAAAGTGGCTCAAGTGGTAAGGCATCTGCCTAACAGGAGTGAGGCTCTGAGTTCAAACCCCAGTACCGAAAAAAAAAATAAAAATTCCAACTCTACAAAAATCTGTTGTCAATCTGAATCATAGTCATAACAATTTCTCAACCTTATTAAAGTGATTAAGAGGATTAGATACTCACATCACCGGAAAAGAACTGAGCATACTTTACATGAGGCGAATCAATACCCTTTCCAGAGATGGTCAGTGTTATTTACCATTCTGTAGAATAAAGATAGAAAATTGAGAAGTATTTTTGTTACTCAAGTGCTGAATAAAATTTTTATTACATAAAAAAGGATAGTAATAGTTGACATTAGCTAATCATGTTTTCAAAATTATTTCACAATTTTGAAATGAAACATTAGCTTAAAGAAACATTTTTTTAAAAAATAGAAAAATGACATTAACTTTCCAACTTTCCAAATAATTCTCCTGGAAAAAGTACTGAAAATTATACCCTTGAAGTTTAATCTGTTATCAGGAACCACTCAAAGAAGAGATTTAAACATGCAATGGAAAACATAAACTTCTTTCTGATAATAGCATCAGTGCAGTTAGAAAGAATCCAATAGGAGAATTCCAAGATGGCGGCTAGAGGTAGGAAGCAGAAAGCGAGCCTCCTATAGTGAAATCTTGGAGAGACGCTGGAGACACACTTTGCAGGCATAATCACCGAGAAAAGCATAACTTTGACCCCTCCACATCTCCAGCCGGTGCAGAGATCTCCCATTCACATTTAAACGGAGAAACGAGGGGCCCCCGGGCCCGCAGTGGCGGCGCCCATACGGCTTGGAAAGACGCAGACCAAGGTGAGGCAGACAGCATAGCCCCTGGACAGACTGACCTCCACCCGGGAAAAAAAGAGAAACTGAGTAACAAGCCAAATAAGAAAGTTAAGACACGCTGGAAAGAGGGTGGGGGCGCCCTAGCACTGAAGATTGGGGGAAGGGAATCCTTCTGGCCGTAAATAAACGAGGCCGGGCGGGCCCGGAGAAGGCTCTGGCGGAGTGGCGCGCGACAGCCAACCAGTGAAGCGGGAAGCTTGTGAGAGGAGGGAAGACCCACTTCCAAGTGAACTGTAAATAAAACATGCAGGCTGACAACGCGGGGCAGTGCCACCTTTCCAGTGCTTGGAAAGGGGGAAAGGCCTGTAGCAGAGGCTCCCGCACAGGGAGAACTCTGAGCAAAACAAGCCTGTGGGACCAGGTGAGTGCTAGTCAGCACCAGAGATCTGCATAAATAACGCCGCCAGCTACAGGCTGAGAGCAGCAGGCAGGCAAGCCACAGTTGCAGATACCATCTCGAGAACTGTCTCCAGACGCTTTTTTTTCTTTTTCTTCGCCTACCTTTGATGAGAGAAAGCAACCGAATTACACGCTGCAGCCGAAAACTTACTGAAACTGTATTGCATTTTGAACTGGGAACTTGGTGGGGCTTTTTTTTTTTTTTCTTCTGTGTGGTGTGTGACTGTAGTTTTGTTCTACTTTATGCATCCCCCTTTGATGAGACAACTACAGAACAACATCTGAGGCAACCAAAAAATCCAGACTGGAGATTGAGACAGACAATCCAAATTATTAAGAATGAAATTGCATTTGCATATAAACTTGGAAGTTTTTTTGTTTTTGTTTTAATTTTCCTATTTCCCATTTTATTTTAATTCATTTTTTATAAATAAGATATTACTTTCATATACTTATTTTTTTTATTTTTTTATCTTGATTTTCAATCCTCTCTCTGTCTCTCTATGACATACTACAAGTTCATGAGAATTTTATAGAGATGAAATACTGATAGGGTCAACCAAAATGTACAGGAAGAACTCAAGCAATTCAAGACAATAAAAATAGAGAATTTTGAAAAGCAAAAGAAAAAGAAATATAAGGAAACCATACCGAAGCCACTGTATCAACACCAAAGTGAAAGAGAGAACACAATGAATAATGGATAAATGCACTCAGGGACAAAAATAGACAACAATAAAGAAGAAAAACAGCCCAGGATATTGGGAAAAAAAAACCCCTTTCAGAAAAAAGAACGACACAGAACTGCAAAACAAAACGGAGGCCAATCCCGGCAGAATAGAACAAACAGAAGACAGAATCTCAGAACTTGAAGATGAAATGGTAATTAAAGGAAAAACCGAAGAAGTATTAATTAAACAATTCAAGACCTTGTGAAAAGAAAATGCAAGATACTGCCCGACTCCATCAAAAGACCAAACTGAGAATCATGGGGCATTAAGAAAGGAGAAGAAGGTGCAAGCCAAAGGGAATGCATAATAATATTCAGCAAATATAACGGGAAATTTCCGCAAAATCTAGAGAAAGATATTCCCATACAGATGCAAGAGGCCTCCAGGACACAAACAGACCAGATCCAAAATAGAACTACCCACTAATGACATATCATGATTAAAACCAACAAGTTCAGAAACTAACGGAAAGAATATTGAAGGCTTGTAAGAGCGAAAAAACAGTAGGTAAACCATGCTCATGGATTGTAGAATCAACATAGTAAAAATGTCTATACTCCAAAGTAATCTACATGTTTAATGCAATTCCCATCAAAATTCCAATGACATTCATTAAAGAGATTGAAAAATCTACTGTGAAATTTATATGGAAACACAAGAGGCCATGAATAGCCAAGGCAATACTCAGTCAAAAGAACAATGCAGGAGGTATCACAATACCTGACTTCAAACTATATTACAAAGCAATAACAATAAAAACAGCATGGTACTGGCACAAAAACAGACATGAAGACCAGTGGAACAGAATAGAGGACCCAGATATGAAAATAATAACGGGAATTTCCCAATATTCGAAAGATATTCCATACAGATGCAAGAGGCCTCCAGGACCAACAGACAGATCAAAATAGAACTACCCTATGACATATCATGATTAAACAACACAGTTCAAGAACTAAGGAAAGAATATTGAAGGCTGTAAGAGAGAAAAAACAAGTAAGCATACAAAGGTAAACATCAAATGCTCATGGGATTGGTAGAATCAACATAGTAAAAATGTCTATACTCCAAAAGTAATCTACATGTTTATGCAATTCCCATCAAAATTTCCAATGACATTCATTAAAGAGATTGAAAAATTACTGTTAAATTTATATGGAAACACAAGAGGCCATGAATAGCCAAGGCAATACTCAGTCAAAAGAACAATGCAGGAGGTATCACAATACCTGATTTCAATATATTACAAAGCAATAACAATAAAAACAGCATGGTACTGGGGCACAAAAACAGACATGAAGACCAGTGGAAAAGAATAGAGGACCAGATATGAAGCCACACAACTATAACAACTTATCTTTGACAAAGGAGCTAAAATATACGATGGAGAAATAGCAGCCTCTTCAAAAAACTGCTGGGAAAACTGGTTAGCAGTCTGCAAAAAACTGAAACTAGATCCATGTATATCACCCTATACCAAGATTAACTCAAAATGGATCAAGGATCTTAATATCAGACCCCAAACTCTAAAGTTGATACAGGAAAGAGTAGGAAATACTCTGGAGTTAGTAGGTATAGGTAAGAACTTTCTCAATGAAACCCCAGCAGCACAGCAACTAAGAGATAGCATAGATAAATGGGACTCATAAAACTAAAAAGCTTCTGTTCATCAAAAGAAATGGTCTCTAAACTGAAGAGAACACCAGAGTGGGAGAAATATTTGCCAATATACATCAGACAAAGGACTGATAACCAGAATAATACAGGGAACTTAAAAAACTAAATTCTCCCAAAACTAATGAACCAATAAAGAAATGGGCAAGTGAACTAAACAGAACTTTCTCAAAAGAAGAAATTCAAATGGCCAAAAACACATGAAAAAATGCTCACCATCTCTAGCAATAAAGGAAATGCAAATTAAAACCACACTAAGATTCCACCTCACCCTGTTAGAATAGCCATCATCAGCAACACCACCAACAACAGGTGTTGGCGAGGATGCGGGGAAAAAGGAACCCTCTTACACTGTTGGTGGGAATGTAGACTAGTACAACCTCTGGAAAAAAATTTGGAGGCTACTTAAAAAGCTAACATTGATCTACCATTTGATCCAGCAATACCACTTCTTGGGATATACCCAAAAGTCTTGTTACTCCAGAGGCAACACTGCACACCCATGTTATTGCGGCAACGTATGCACAAAGCCAAGTTATGGTGGAAACAGCCAAGAGCGCCCAGCACAGTGACGAATGGATTAAGAAAATGTGGTATCTATACCACAATGGAATTTATGCAGCCAGTGAAGAAGAGATGAATATGTTATTCATTCCGTGGTAAAGGATGGAATTGGGGAGAAACATCATTCTGAGTGAAGGTAGCCTGGCTGCAAAAGACCAAAAATCGTATGTTTCCCTCATATTGTGGACATCGATCAAGGGGCAAACACAACAAGGGGATTGGACTATGAGCACATGATAAAAGCGAGAGCACACAAGGGAAGGGTGAGGATAGTAAGACACCTAAAAAACTAGCTAGCATTGTTTGCCCTTAATGCAGAGAAACTAAAGCAGATAACCTTAAAGCAACTGCAGGCCAATAGGAAAAGGGGAACCAGGAACTAGAGAAAGGTTAGATCAAAAGAATTAACCTAGAAGGTAACACACATGCACAGGAAATCAATGTGAGTCAACTCCCTGTATAGCTATCCTTATCTCAACCAGCAAAAACCCCTTGTTCCTTCCTATTATTGCTATACTCTCTCTACAAACAAAATTAGAAATAAGGGCAAAATAGTTTCTGCTGGTGATTGAGGGGTGGGGGGAGAGGGAGGGGTGGAGTGGGTGGTAAGGGAGGGGGTGGGGGCAGGGGGGAGAAATGAACCAAGCCTTGTATGCACATATGAATAATAAAAGAAAAATGAAAAAAAAAAAGAATCCAATAAACAAAGGGCAAGCACTGGCATTAATTGTAACTGAATGCCTTTACTGCGGGTGAATGCTGGGGTCTGGTTTCAAGTATATTACTCATTTTACTGCTAGCATAATCTTGACAGACTTAATTTTTCTAATTCTGAATTTCTTCTACTTCAAAGAGCCATTAAATAATTTTAACAAAAACTAACAAGCCAGAGGTGCTATACCAGGCATTTAAAGAAGAGATAAATGCCCAGGCTGCATACAGATGACCAAGCACAGTATACATAAATAATGGAATGATTCTAGCACTTCTATTTTCTAATTTGTAT